GGTTTCAGTGTTAACCCCATTTTCTACTGCTATAAAAAAAATGGTAGTTCCCCAAACCTGGCTTACTTTCATCACTCTCCCAATATATAAGAAAAGAGACAGACCTTTTGTTCCAGCCAACTGTCATCCAATTAGTATTCTCTCTGTAATTAGTAAACTTTGATAGATTTCCATGCCACAAATTATAGGATTGGCTGTTTTCTGAGAACATTATGGTGCCAGAACAGGAAGGATTTGGAGATGGACATTCAACAGTACTGTAAATCAATGCCTAATATTGCATCATTTGGCAGAAAAATACTATAAATTTCCAAACATAGCTCATTTTGCTACCTTTATTAACTTAAAGGCAGTTTTTTATTCTATTCCTTGGAGGAAACTAGCTAACTAATCAATTAATCCTCATCTTCTTAATTTGATTATTCAGCTACATTGCAATATCAGTTTACCTATAGTTTACACCAGGGGTGTCAAACTCAAGGCCCACGGGCCACATCCAGCCCGCAAGGTGCTTAGATCTGGCCCACAGGGCTGACCTGAAAACATCAAATGACTGGCCCGCAATGCCTCTGCCAGCAAAAATGGAGCTAGGGAGGCAGAGGGTTGCAGGAAGCAATCGCAGCTGGAAATGGAGCTTGGGAACCCATTTTCACTGGTAGAGCGCTTGGGCCGCCACAGGAGCCCCCAACATGAACAAGGTCGAGCTGGCCATGCCCACCCTGCCCATGCCCACCCCAGCCCCCCAAGGTCCAACACAACCCTGATGTGGCCCTCAATAAAATCGAGTTTGACACCCCTGATTTACACAGTAAACTGTGTAGATAACTTACACAGGTTAAAGGCATTAATTTTGATGATCTGACAAAGCCTATCCTCACTCATGAAGGGGTTAAGCACACATGTATATTATTCCCTTATGTTTTAACATGTATATGAACACAAAATTATCTTGTAGCTTTTGCCACTCCAGACTTCCATTCTCTACCCTTCACCCATCTTCCAATCCCAGTTTTGTATGTATCAATCTATCCTGAGTGATACTGCCTGAATAGCCTCTTCTTCCCCATCTGACTCATTATATAATCTGATAGGAGAATTAGTAAAGCCTCCAAACACTTGAAAAACAAAGCAGTTCAACGTCAAACATATTATAATATCCCGTGGAGGATATAGCTAAACTACACTAGGTAATTAAACTTAATAAGTCTGGGTCGCTCACAACAATCAAAGAAATTACAATGAAATAAAGAAAAGATGGCAAGTGCTGTGAAGTGTGGGGCCTCGTGCTTCTTCGCTAAAGCCCTGGGTGAAGAATCAGGTCTTCACAGCTCTTTTAAACGGTAGCAGAACGGAGCCCATCTGGATTTTGAGGGAGCCTCTTTGCACAGTTCAGAACACAAGTTTCCTTTTCTTAGTGTCAGGTTTCCTTTTCTTTTTAGATTTGATAATTAAGTAGGCTGGCAGTAGCTCTACCACAATACACAGCTCAGATCTTGAGAAAATTGTATAGCAGGATTACCTTTGTTTCTTGGCTAGTAAACTTGGAATTAAGAGACTATATAGGCATTCAGAATGATGCAAAGATTAATTCTGCATAGGTTAAGTTCCTTTTCCTACTAGAAGCACTTTTGTGATATCTATATTAAGCATCAGTTTGTTTTCCTTCATCCAATACATTACTGACATCAATTATTGTCTTAGTACTGAACAGTTTCATTAGACCAACACTTGTGGATTTTAGTCACAAATGGAAAGCAATTATCTAGATCTGAAGTTTAGCTTCTAAAAAAGAAATGGTTGGCTAAAAGATACTGATTGCTATTGTGGATGACTAGCTGCCCAAAATATTTTCTCACCAGGATTGCAACTAACCTGTTCTTTGATATGTGGACTTTTATCTGCAATTCTATAATATAATATCTATTCTATTCTAACCATACATGCAGGTTATGATTAAAATAATGTAGATATTGCATTACATTAATCAATGAAAAATGTGGCTAATCATCAATTTGAAAATATAAAATAAAACACTAATCAAGTTGACTATTTCTCCTCGTCTCTACTTCAAAAAATAATTTTATATGGACTGCAATGCTTTTCTACAGAATGCTTACAAATATTTCGAAGATGAAAAGTAAGACAAATGTAAGAATAAAGAAGAGTAAGATCCAGCTTAGTGTAGAGGTTTAAGGTGCCGTCCTAGAAATCCGGAGTTCTACTTTGGGCAGGAAAACCAGTTCAATAATTTTGGGCCAGCGACTCATTCTCAAACCAACCCACCTCACAGGAATGTTATGGGGAAAATGGAGGAAGGATATTTATGTATGTTTGCCAACTTGAGTTACTTATAAAGTAATAAAGGCAGAATTTTTTAAAATCTAATAAATAAATACATAAATAAAATTGCATAATTTGCATCAGAAGTCACCAGAGTTACATTCAGACTTTCTGGATAGAAGTTAGAAAGTGGACTTAAGCTAAGGCCAACTACAGATAGTCCTTGACTTATGGCCACAGTTGAACCCAAACTTTCCATTGCTAAGCAAGACAATTAAGTGAATTTTGCCCCATTTTATGACCTTTCTTGCCACAGTTGTTAAGTGAATCACTGCAATTGTTAAGTTAGTCACATAGTTGCTAAGTAAATCTGGCTTCCCCATTGACTTTGCTTAATAGAAGGTCATAAAAGATTATCACATGACCCGGGGACACTGCACTGTAAAGTGCAATCAGACTTACAAACTGCTGTTATTGTAGCCTATCACATTTAAAAATATAGCCCTAATCGTTCTGTGAAATCAGTTTCCTGATCTTGTCTATCTCATGGGGCTGCCACTCATACATTAATCAGATACATCATCGGATATAAATTGGAGAAGTTGATGTAATCGATCAACATTTTACCAAAATCAGTGTGTTAAGCATCTAAGTTGCTACATTCCTCCCAAAAGTGAAGTAGTATATTTCCCAGTTGGAGCATACTGAAAACCTGTACTGTAAACTATTCCTGCATGATTACTGCAAGACCCAATAGAGTTGATTATTTGGATAGCATGGTTATTATTAATATTTTTAAAAAAGAACAAGAGCAAGCTGTAAAAGTAGCCTAATGATATTATATAAAGCAATCAATTAATAAAAAGGATAAAGATATTTTGACAAATAATGAAATGCATTAACAAATAAAGGCTTCTTTTGTCGATTTTTGTGAACTACATTTTCATTGTGTATTTCTTATCTGTTCAAGCTATAGCTTTGCTTTTCATTCTTTAAACTGAGCCACTTCCTGTGTTGTATTTGGGAGCCTCAGTAGGGAGGTGCAGCAGATAAATGTACTTGAAGTTGGCTCTGATCATCCTTTCAGATCTTATCACAGTCATGCTAGCAGGAAATGGTAAGAGTGGCTTATATCTATTTCAGTAATAGAACAAGATTCGCTCAGCCAGTACTACGGTATGATATATGTTGATTGTCTGCATGTTTGATCCATTATTACAAGTTAAAGGGGTAATTGGTAATAAAGCACATATAAATTAATATTGCTGCCTCTTTCTCAGTAGATATATGTGCATAAAACACATTTTATTATGACAATGTAGTGCAAAATGTAAACAAAATTGATGAAGCCAATATCAATATAAATTCTAGTTTTCATATGTATGCAAATTGATACATTTTATACTTAATTATCTTTCTTAAAAACAATTTTGGTAGAAATTTTATTTCTTCTTTTCATAATTTGGTCAGAGCTGCCTTTTTTCTAACTTTCTAACAGTATTCTTCGCTGTGGAAATTGCTGAATGCTATATTTAAATGGATTTAAAGGTTCAGCATTACAGATAGTCCTCGAATTATAACCACCATTGAGCCCCAAATGCCTGTTATTAAGAGAGATGTTTGCTATATGAATTTTGCCCCATTTTACTACCTTTCTTGCCACATTTGTAAATGTACCACTGCAGTCATTAGTAATATCTTTGTTAAGTAAATTTGGCTCCCCCATTGACTTTGCTTGTCAGAAGGTCACAAAAGATGATCACATAATCCCAGGACCATCATTAATATCAGTCAGTTGCCAAGTGTCTGAATTTTGATCGTGTGACCATGGGGACAATGCTAGGGTCGTAAATGTGAAAAACGGTCATGTCACTTTTTTCAGTGTTGTTGTAACTTTGAACAGTCACTAAATGAACTGTTGTAAGTCAAAGACTACCTGTACTGCAGTGCAGTGTCCATGACAATTCCATGAACATGATTCACCATCATTCAGCACTCTGATGGATGATAGTTGGACATTGTGCATTGCGCGTAGAAGGGAATAATATTAGGATGGATGACAGAATGAAATTGTTCAACCTTGGGTTGATCTGCAGCCAAGACACTGATTAGATTGGTGATAATACTTTTCAGGGAATCTGGAAAAGTACTCTTAATGTTAATGTGCTTAGCTTTTGTTTCTATGATTGTTATACTATTGAATCTGCTGTTAATTACACTTAAGAACGTGCTATGTTAACTGATGCTGGTTGCAGCAAAGCCATCACTTCAGTGAAACCAGATGACTGGAATGTTTCTATGGCTGATGCAATAAATAAGGGGTCCCCAACCTCTGGGTCGGGGCCCACTACCAGGCCTTGAGCTGTTTGGAACTGGGCCACAGAAGTGACGATTGAGCACGCACATGTATCCCCTCTTGCCTGAGCAGCAGGCAAGCCCCTGTTCACATGCTCCATTTGTGCAAGCAGCAGGCGCACATGCCCTCCACTTGTGCAAATGGAGCTGCACCCATGTGCCCTTGCCCTCTCTCACACAGAACCATCCCCTCTTCCCCCCTCCCTCCCTCTGGCCCGTAAAGCTGGAGAGGTTGGGGAACTCTTCCATAAATGGCAAGTTCAACCAAAGATTCCTGAATAGTAGATTAATAAGAAAAGTTATCATTGATCAGACTACAAAGAAATTATAAATAACATTATGTATCTTCTATTTCACTATAACAGGAGATAACATGGAAGCCATTGCAAAATTTGACTTTAATGCATCAGGAGAGGATGAGCTAAGTTTCCAAGCACAAGATGTTCTGAAGGTATGTATCAATCAACACTTCTTCAAAGACATTTCCAGAGCATCACCTTTTTTATTCCCCAAATCCTCAAAAGCAGTTTGAAACTAACTAATAATTATCTTCACTGCCAGTGAACTCAAAGTGCTGAAACACTATCATTGTGCACTCCAGATGACTACTAAGATAGCACAAAGAGTGGCATTCAGCTGTCCCTCACCCGTGTTAATAATTAAGTATTAATTGCCTGGTAATTTCCCCAAAACAGTGAGCACAGGCAACAAGGGAAGCCGCAATTCCATTAAGTGACTATCCCTTGGCTACCTTTAAAAAAAAAAATCAGCAACAACAACAGCTTGATGCTGAATTCTGTAGGGAAGAGGAAGAAGTTGGTTTGAAATGAAAAGTCAAGCAGCAGGTTTCTGCCAGCAGAGAAGCCGTATGCCCAAAATACTAAACAGCTTCAGCATTTCCAGTGGGAAAGGAGTTTCTGAATACATTGCAATTGAACCAGAAATAAATTGGCTCAGCTGCCAAACAAAGATGGCCTAGGTTACATAGATGCAAAACTGATTTTTGGAGCATTGCAAAGACTACATATGGAAGTGTCTCCTATGAAGAGATAATATATTTGTACCAGTGGTGAAATCCAAATTTTTTTACTACCGGTTCTGTGGGCATGGCTTGGTGGGCATGGTTTGGTGGGCATGTCAGGGGAAGGACACTGCAAAATCCCCATTCCCTCCCCACTCCTGGGGGAAGGATATTGCAAAATCTCTATTCCAACCCCACTCTGGGGCCAGCTCTGAACTACTCAAAATTTCCACTACCAGTTCTTCAGAACCCATCAGAACCTTCTGGATTTCACTTCTAATTTGTACTATTAATAATTAGTAACACAAGCCATAAACTAGAACTCATTCTAAAAACATTATCTCTAGCCAAAAGATTGATGAATACATTTTCCAATAAACTTTTTCCTTCTTTAGTACAAGATTTTAGTTTGTATTTCAAAGATGAGTTAAAGAATAAAATAACTGGATTTAGCACAAGATATTACTCAATTGCAAATTGAAAGAAATGCAAAGCATTTTATTTCCAGGGGAAAACATTGATATATGAAAAAGGAGGTTCCCTAAATATGAAATATTTTATAAGAATTCATAAGAAATTAGTATGATCATAAATGTGAAACACCTTTTTTATACAGTTTAGGGCAGGTTTTTTCACACTAGGTTCCACAAGACTTTGAGACACTGAAGACTAAAACCCAAAAGTTTATTCACAGCAAATTTTCAGGACTTCAGATGTTTTTTAAACAAAACTAACATTGCCTGAAAAACATTAAATTAAAAAATACTATTTTACAGAGTGCAGAATTGCTTTCAAAAGGCAAAATATAGATATTAACAAAGCAGGAAGGATGAGGCGCGCTGAAAGGAAGAAACCTAAATCTCTACATGAACCTCTTCTCAAAAAGATATTATCTGAAAACTGTCCTCTTTACCTCAGAGCATTTATTTATTTATTTCTCTGGAAATGTAATTCCAATTATACAAGTATTCATATGTTTTAGTATTGCTCATATTTCACAGTTTGTCTACAGGAAGAAGAAAAAAATGTAATCAATTAGATGTAAAGAAATTTTGAGATCAGCAGCTTGTTATGCATTTTGCTGGGACAACACTACTTTTTGGTAATCTGACTTCAGATAAAATTATTAACATTTATAGAAATATTAATTTATGGTTAAATTAGCAGCATTTTTTTCATATTTCTCTGAGATAGAAGTCATTATTATTTTGCTATCTTAACAGACTTCCCACATTTAACCTGTGTATGACACGTAAAATGATATCTAATTAGGAAAGGACATACATTCAGTGAGTTTGAAGAGATAATGCTAAACACAGTTACTACAATTCAGCACAGATATTGGCTTGCTTAAGCATATGTGCTGTCAAAATCCATGAGTAATGAAACGGTGTGTGGACTCACCTCATGAATTTAGAGTTGTCCCTCGTGCAATATAAACATTTATTCTCAATTACACATGAATACATGTCATATGTAAGTTTGCATGTGCATTGTTCTATATACTTTTTCTTCTGTCCTCTACTTAAACTAGAGGATTACTATTATGGTCAACCTTCATTCAATTATTATTATCTTAATATTTATTGATAACACACCTATTACTATTGGTGTTATCTTTCTTGTGTCACAGTTGTTCTAGCTCTATTTCCAGGTCTTTGTATTTTGTGATTTACTCTGGTTCTTTCTCTTTTATTCTGCTGTCTCCAGGTACTGCCATGCACTATCCAGGCGTTTTGTTTTTCTTATCAACAATTGTTAAGTCTGGGATGTTATGTGGCAAGTGTCTATTTGTTTGAATTCTAAAGTCCCAGAGTAATTTAGTTTTTTCATTTTCTATTACTTAGTTTATTTTGTAGCCATCAGTTCTTGCTTGCAGGCAAATGGTATTTCTTGCAGATAGTTCAATGTACCATTGTTGCTACTTTGTCATACCATTGCTTGTACTTAGTCCATGTGATCTTCTTGCAGCAGCTAAGCTTTATTACTATTATGATTCACTGCACAGTCAGCCACATGTGGATTTAGAGTGGATTTGGTATTTCTAACCACCTATCAAGTCCTTTCCAAGGACATGGAATAGACAGATGTTGTTGTTGTTGTTTTAATTTACTTACTAATTTTCTATGTCTCCTGAATTGATGCAGCCAACTCTACTATAAATTCATTACATTGCTTCATAAACATATTTTCAAAATCTCCTTTCACTGTTTTCTAAAATCATTTTAGCAATTCCACAGTCTCAATCCAGGCTGCCATAATCTTCCCAAACTATTTTATTTATTTTTTACTTTATTTCTAAACCACCCACACTTCCATTTGGTTTCCCTGTTTCTTTTTATTTTTGATTATGAAAGGGTTATATCCTCACACAAGCCAAGGAAGAATTATAAATTATATAAATTATAAATTGCAAAATTTACGGGATGAATACACTTCTCGCTATTATTTGCAGCCATTTAGAGAGATAGATTCTTAAGGGACAGCAGAGTCATTTAATTGATCCACTATCTCTCTGTAAGATTGAACATCTTTAAGAGGTGCAATATAGTATCTTAGAAGCCACTGTTATGATGGACACCTATCATGGGCACATTGAAGGAAAAGAGACACTTTGGCTGAAATTCCACCTTTAATATTTTTATAAATAACTCTATGTTGCAAATATAACTAATACTCTTTCCTCCTCCTGTGGAAATGATGGCTCAGTGTTTAAAGATGTTCAGTGGTTAAAGATCCTAAGCTTGTTTGAGACCCAAGCATGGCACAATGTGTGAGCTCCTGTTACCCCAGCTCCTAGCAGTTTGAACCTAGCAGTTCAAAAACATACAAATCTTCGGTGGGAAAGTAAAATAAGTGTTCCATGCTCTTCAGCATATAGTCATGCTGGTCACATGGCCATGGAAATGTCTTCAGACAACGCTGGCTCCCTAAGAACTGGAGAAGAGCACTAGCCCCTAGAGCAGTGAGCAGAATTCGTCTCAGGAATTCTGGGAATTGAAGTCCACAGGTTGTAAAAGGGCCACATTTGCCCACCCCTGCCCTAGAGTTAGATATGACTGGATAGGAGAAAAATTTACCTTTACTTTTACCTTCCTCCTCCTGTTTTTCTTCACAACACCCCCGTGAGATGGGTTAGGCTGAGAAGAGAATGACTGGCTTCTAGCCTGATACCTTAATCACAAGACCAAACCGGCTCTCAAATAAATTTTATATGATATGAGTTATTCTTGATAAACTAATTAACCAAAGCACCAAAGTAGGGGAAGAAATCCAAACCCTCAATACAACTTCTAATTTTTGTTGTTGTTGTTATGCTCACATAGTTGTTTAGGTCCACCCGCCTCCTCCTCCTCCTCCTCTTCTTCTTCTTTTTTGATTTTTATTTTTTATTTTTTGAGGTGCTGAAGCACACTCTGGAACTGAAATTCTGTGCAATTAGAGCTTTTTTTTTCTTAAAGGAAAGTGTTTGCATATATATACACATGTCCATGCCTAATAAGTGAAAGTCAGGTGCTATCAATTTCTCTTAACAGTTGGCTTGGCACACCTGCTATGCTAGTTCATTTCTACTGAGGTAAGAGAACAGAGTTATTTTCAAGAAAAAATGACTGCAGCTTGTTTCAGATCTCTGGAGGAAAACTGATAAGAGTTGATAGCAGGAAGCATAGCAAAGGAGTTAAGGAGGCATAAAATCTTCAAAATGTAGGCTAGCAGAAGGCACACATATACCTTCAAGTAATTATAGTTTTTGTTCTGATTTACAGATCTTAAGCTCTCAGGAAAATTGGTATAGAGCTGAGTTGAAGAATTATGAGGGATATGTCCCAAAGAATTATATTGATTTTCAGGTTCCCGGGTAAGTATACAATTTCTACATTTATGTTCATGTTCTACATGTCATTGACTTCTGTGTACCCATTTAAGAAATAATTTAACAAATGGGTAAAAAAAAAAGGAAGTGAAACATTTCTGGAAAAAAGTTCCTTTTTCCATTTTTAGCTAACTTCCTTTTCCAGAAATATTCAGAACTCTGAATATTTTCCTAGTGACTTTTCAGCAACTTTCACACACATACAAAAAAACATATAAACAAATATTCAGAAAACTAGAAGAGATGAATATTATCCTGCCATACCAAATTACACAATCCTATTTGCCAAAGTAAGCCCAAAAATTTAAACCATTCCAAGCGGATGCTTCAATATCCACTTGGAATATTTTAAGGGTAGCCAAAAAAAGTTGCACATATAATATATAAAACTTGGAATTCCTTCTAAAATACTTATAATTTCTGAATTAATTCCTGATTCATTCAAAATAGTTGTAGTATTTGTAAGTTTATACATAGCAAAAAATTAAAGCAAGTGGATGAATTTCAGTAGAATGTTAATTAACGTTGGGAAACTAAATGAAGAAATTTTGAGACATATAAACTCTAAAAAAAAGGAAATGGGTAATCTGTTGCAAGAAATTACAGCAAAAATGACTATATACAAAAAAGTGCACTTCACTTTTTATATGAAACTGAGATTTGAGTTTGTCAGGAGTAATATAAATTAAATAATATAAAAATAGATTAATTGAGAAGTGTGTGTGGAAAAACAAAAAGAATGCATGGCTATCAAATGAATGAGTACACAAAAGTCAGTGCCCGGTAGAAAAGAAGTATGTTGAAGTGTCTTCATCACAGAGAAAATAAATAAGGATTAAATAGCAAGACAAATACTTGCTATATGGAAACCTTAAATTAATTGAGAGGAAAGGAAAGGGAAGTTTGAAAAAAAAGAAGCAAACTCAAGTTGATGAATCCTCAAAAAGAAAGCAGCTTTGTATTTCTCATGGTTTTTCTGTCCTCCGCATTACATTACTAATCCAGAAAGGAAATAGCACACGGAGCCAGTCATTATAGCATGAAACCATGGGTTTTGTGGGTGTTTTTCCCCCCTCTTCTTGTGAACCAAGCAACAGTGGCTTGTTAACTATTCTAGTGTAGGAAGTTAGCACCCACCCCTCTCCTAGAAGAATCAAATATTATAGAAAATATTAAAAAGGCCCAAGCAGTCATATCTCCCTGTTAATTCCATGGGGGAGAGGCATCCCCCTCAGGCAAGAGATACAGAAAAGAGATCTCCAAAACCCAAGTCCTGACTGTGACTCACAAATGGTGCTGTCCAGTTGCCCAGTAAAGCAGGATATGTTGCACTGGTGGTGTCATGAGTAGGAATCTCAGGGCTCATTATGTGTAATTTTTAAAATAACCTGGATTGCATACTGACTAACCTCAATTTGGACTCACAATTCCTGGATGCACTAAAGTAAGAGCTAAGGCAGGTTCAGTAACCAACCCTTGGAAATGGGCAGCCTGTAGTTATTTAAAGGAAAACCATGGCTGTGAAGAATTTTTGGACTTGTGCTTGCTTGAAACCTGACTGGAAGCTCACAGAAAGTGATATCTGACTTCTGAAAATAATTGGCATTAAAAAAAATTGGATACTATAAATTTCTTTCCAGAACTTTTGCCCTGGCTGCTAGACCTTCATGGTTGAAAGCTCTCCTTTTGGGAGCCACTGAAGGAAACCTTTTCTGCTGTCCTTATCAATTTACACCAGAAAAATTAAAAGCACCCATCTAATCAATTTTTAATCTTTTGCCAATAACCTATGTGTCCCACCCACATATTTAGACAAAAAGGGGGGATTGTAGGAAGTTAGCACCTACCCCTCTCCTAGAAGAATGAAATATTCTAGGAAATATTAAAAAGGCAGAATATTATACCTCCCTGGATGAGAAAAGGAGAAACATGCCCTTGGAAAGCAGCCCCCCCCCTTTTGCTAATAGCCCCAGAAAGACTGGTGCCAACCTGCCTACAAGACAAAAGACCTTCACCCTCAAGCCATGATAGGATTAGCCTTCACTCAAGAGCCAAACCAGGACAAAGCCATTAAGCCATAATAGGAATTGCCCAAAGCCCCTTCATTATATCATCACCCAGCAAGATTCAACCAGCCCTGGGACTCAAGACAACCTATAAAGTTGGGTTGCCTGCATGGCCCCATGGGAGTCTGACAACCAATCAGAGTACATTTCTTACACAGGAACAGGAAGCTCCAAGGTGGGGCCCAAGAGAGGGTATAAATCTCTCTCCCTTTCTCACCCATGTGCTCATTTTGCCCAGGACCTCTAACCATGTGGTTCTGCCCACCATTAAACCATCTTTCCAAATAGCCTCCATGTTTCCAGTGTCTTTCTCCCCACTTGGAACTGAACCCAGATGGACATTTGTTCCAACACTTGTTTTTTTAAAAAAGGTGTTCTATCAATTGGGATGTGGAAGTAGCAGAAACAAGGATGGTTTGCAGTAACAGTGAATAGTGTTGGTATAAATTAGATTTAAGTACAAATGTTTCTTTCCTCTTATGCACTACTTTTAAAATTTTTGCTTATGGCTTTATAGTCATTTCTGTGTTTTGCATAAAGTTCTTATTCTTTCAAAAATTTGTATGATAGATTTATGACTGCATGTGTGGGTGTGCGAGTGTATCTATATCTATAGATATAGACAATATAGATAATCAAATGTTTTTTTTTTAATTTCATAGGTACAAATGAACATGGACACCATATGCATACTCTTTTCTTTTGACCTTCTACTCTGCAGGCACTCTGGGATTCCTGTCAAAACAAAACAAAATAAAACAAAATAAAATCTACTTCATTTTAAATTAAGTTGATCAGTTTTTCCTCTTAGAAGTGCCTGTCCTTTAGTTTATCGCATTAGGATGATTTATCAATATGAGCCTTGTCAACTGTTATTATTTATTTAGTTCTTTTCATATAGACTTAATTTTCTTCTAATAACGATATATATTCAGAGGGATGGGTATGGCACATTTCCTTTTTTGCATTCTGAATGGCAAAAACACTTTGAATTTTGACAGGAGCTCCCATTATTTTGTGCTGGATTGGTAGAAACAAATTAGAAAGGGATGATAATGATGGTGGTGGTGGTGGCTGATGATTGTGTTGTTTCAGAATGAATTTTAAGGCATTCTTATCCTTGTATATTTTAAAAATCTGGCTTAATCTCTCTCTCAGATTGATTTTCCATTATAGTTACTTATGATATGTTGCTTTTGACAGCTGGTTCCAAGAGAAAGTATCCCGCCACATGGCTGAGACGATGCTCAGGGATAAAGGAGTTGGTGCTTTCATAGTCCGAGCTAGTCAGAACTCCCCAGGAGATTTCTCTATCTCTGTCAGGTAAGTTTCCTCCTCTCTTTCTCCCATATGGGAAACATGGACATTGGGAAGCAGAGGACTTTATTTTATAGTTATCTTAAAACAAGTGTTATGTTCCATGTGTGCAAAAGCCATTTGTTAATTTCAAGGTATGCTCAGTATCATCATAATGCCTCCGGATGACCTGCAACAGTTGTTTTTTCAATCTAGCTTTTAAAATATATTAATCTTCCAGTTTGGAAAAGGCTGTTTACAAAATTTACTAATAAAATCCAATACATTTTAATTGAGTAGTAAGTATGCGTTACTTATTGAGAAGTAAATCACTCAATGGAGTTTCCCTTAAGTAAAGATATATAGGATTTTACCAAAAATACCAAAAGCAGATACAAAACAGTCCTAAATCAGAAAAACAGTTCAAAACAAACAGGTGGGAAGCTGTTACAAATATTTTAAAACTAAATCTTTCCATGAATTTACCTGCATTAATCTATTGCAGACAATGTAATATAGATTCTATTCAATTTGTTATATTAAATATATATAGTGATTTAACTTTTATTCCTTTATTGCAAGAAACATCCTGTATTGGCAGGATACTCTCTCATTTGCCAGAGGCAGAATGCAATTTTTAGGTGGAGATTAAACACAGACTAGGAAAATGAACATTACATTGCATGTAAAATAATTTACAAGAACCAGTTTGGTGTAGTGGTTAAGGCAACCAGACTAGAAACTGGGAGACTCTGAATTCTAGTGCTGCCTTAGGCATGAAACCATTTTTTTCCAGGAGAATATGGGTGACAGTGGAAAGCCACTTCTGATAAACATTGCCAAGAAAACTGTAAGGACTAGTCCAGGTGGCCTCCAGGAGTTAAAAACTGACTTGAAGGCACAAACCCAGTAGTAATAGTAATAAAAATTCACTAAGACCATTCACAAAGCATGAGTAATTGTATCACAAACATTCTAGGTTGGTACCTGTAGAGGAATAAAAAGCTATTATCTAAACTCACACTTTCGAAAATGCCAGAAAGTAGTTTTTCACTGTCAAAATGACTGAGTAAATAATTTATCAGTGGCAATACTGTAATGTTATTAATTCAGATTTATACATGATCACAGTGCTTACTTCTGGGGCTATCACATCAGGACTACAAAAATCCAAACAACCACCAGATGACTGTGAAAATGTCTTTGTTCCCATTTAGTGAGTGTCCAGATTTTTGCAGTCCAAATTTAGTAGCCTTATTATTTCAAATAGATAGAGCTTGATAAAGTAGATTTACCCCTGTCTTTGTGAAACCAGTGGGGTGGAAATTACCTATACGTATTTCAGACTGGAACAGCTGAAAGGCCCAACAAGGAAAATTTGAGAGAATGGAGATTCTTTACATCAAGCAAATACTGCCCAATAATTCCATATTTAAGTAGGTGCTTGACTGAATTATGTTTATGGATGGTTTGAAGCTGCGGAACTTTATTATTTTTACAAATATCTCAAGGTAGAGAACATATCGAACACACCTTCCTCCTATTTTCTCCACAACATGAGTTGGGCTGAGAGAGTGTGTGACAGGCCCAAAGCCACCCAGCTGACTTTCATGGCTGAGGCAGGTCTTAAAATCACTGTCTCCCACTTTCTGGCCTGGTGCCTTAACCACTAGACTGGCTGATGCCCTGCTATGTTATGCAAGTGTCAGTCAAAAAATATATATAAAGGAACAACAAAAAGGAAGAAGCTATCATCATGGTTTCATAAACTTATGAGATGGAACTTCCAGGATTTCAGACAGAACATTTTTTTCATGAACTAAGTTTTAAAGTCTTTCAAATGTTCCCAAACATGATCAATAATACTGTGAAGCAATTCTTTTTCCTTCCATAAAGGACTTTTCTTATATAAAGATAAAATGCACAGAAACAAGGGCATGCTTCCAAGTCTAAAAAGATGATGTGCATTCTATAATGTTATTTATATCTACTTAATATGATGTTTGAACCTACCCATTCAACCTGTATGAAGCTCAAGCTACTATAACTTTTTAAAATCATAGTTAAAAAACAAAAGCATCTTAGCATCATTACAAAGTCAAATAATTAAATTCTCATGTGGAAGCAGAGGGCTACTGTAACCCAGCTGCAAAAATCAATATGACCACAAAATGGCAACAGAAATTATCATTTTTTCAGAGTCTAATTCTTTTCTGCCATCTAGTGGTCGTCTAGATTTCTGTTGTCCAAATCTTACCCAAATAACTTGCTATAAACTTGTATAAGATTTAATTAAGGAAATGGAATGAATGGTCAAATAATTTTAGGCAACATTTTTGGAAGTGGTTTATCATGGCTGCTTCTTAGGGCTGAGAGTGTGACCTGAGGCCATTCAGCTGCCTTTGTACCTAAGGCACACTAGAATTCAGATCGCCCCAGTCATCGTACAGAGTTTTACTTACTACAGAAAAATGAAGAATAAATGAAGTTCCCACAAAAATAATGAGTATTTCCCTCAAATATAAACAAAAATGAACAAAAATGGTGCATCTGGTAGACTCCCAACTTTCTTTTTTTTAATTATTATTTTTATAACACAATATAACAGTACAAGACATACAACATTTATAAACGCACTCTCTTTTCAGCTATTGCATGGTGATCTTCTTTGTTATTCACAATTTCCCCTTCTTTCTCTTTATATTATTCTGCTTTACTACTTCTCCCCGACATTTTAATTACTATATATATACAATATATTTCTCTCATTCATATCTATTTCCTATTTTTTATACTTTAACCTCTCCTTTCTGTCTTTTTTAACATTCCTATTTTTCCCCCTAATTTTCTTCTTCATTTTCCTTCCCTCCAACCACTTATACCACTTGTGCCAAGTCCTATTGTATTCTGTATCCTCTTTTTCTTTAAGTTCTTTTGTCAGTTTATCCATCTTGGCACATTCCAATATTTTTTTTATTAACTCATCTTCAGATAGTACATTTTCTTTCTTCCAATTCTGGACTCCCAACTTTCATTCCCCACATACTTTCATAGTGGACTAGACTGAACAATCAGATCTTGACTGCTGTCCTAAAGCTTAAGAAGACAGGAGCAGACTGGATCTTCAAGGGAAACAATTCCAAAGAATGGGGGCAGCACTCTAGAATGACTATTTTCAAGACCATGTCAGATAATGATTGGATAAACAACATCCAAACTGTCAGTCTGAGGGAGATAGGTGGTTAAGAAGTGTGGGATATAAATAAATAAAAATTACCTGAGTGGGGAACACAACTTCATTCAAAGTCAAAAATTGTATTTCCTTGGGATTGTTAGGTCTATAAATCCAAAGTTACTCCTTCTTGGAAGGATTCAGTAAAAATGTGTTCTGCTCTGTCTAAACCAATTCAATGCACCTGGCATGAGGGCAAGATGTATAGCTGGGTATCATCACTCATGCTAAATAGCAATAGCACTTAGACTTATATACCACTTCAGTCAAGGGTGGGTTCTACTTACCTCCACTACCGGTTAGCAACAGGAGCACGGTGTACGCTTTTGCGCATGCGCAGAAGCTTCTGTATATGTGCAGATTGTTCATGATGACATCTGGGCAGGTGGGCAGAGCCTCCCGCCACCGTTACTACCAGTTCGCAAGAACCTGACCGAACCGGGAGCAACCCACCACTGACTTCAGTGCTTTACAGCCCTCTTTAAGCGGTTTTAGAGAATCCGCATATTGTCCCCAACAACCTGGGTCCTCATTTTACCCACCTTGGAAAGATGGAAGGCTGAGTCAACCTTGAGCCTAATGAGATTCGAACTGTCGAACTGCTGGCAGCCAGCAGCCAGCAGAAATAGCCTGTAGTACTGCATTCTAACCACTGCGCTACCACAGCTCTAATGGATGATTTCCCCAAGTGGTTTCATATAGATGATAAAGAGGAATGGAGAGAGTAGAGAGCCATGAGGTGCTGAACAAAATAGAGTCTTCTGAGCAGATCTTTCCTCTCTACCCGACATCAATTGAGGAGTTGACTATCACCTTTAAGATCCTAACTAGCTTAGATCTCAGTTACCTGAGAAAATGTCTTTTTTGTATATAACCTCATCTCTCATTAATCCATCTCCGGAATCAGACCCACCAGCTCCTCTAGTGGTGACTTGAGATTGGACCTTCCCAGTCATCATCCCCAGATTGTGGAATATTCGGTGTGAAGATATTAGGCTTCTACAGACCTTTCTTTTCTACTAGGCTTTCAATAATTTAATCATCAATAACTTTAATACATTTAATGAATTTAAAACGTTAAAACATAAACCATCTGGACCCATTTATGAAGAATGATATAGAATAATAATTATATGTATTTTTATATGTATTTTCACAAATAATTCAAATAATGTTTTTCATCTAAAGCATGCCAATTTGTAAAAGTTAATACAGAGTACAAATAGAATAATGCAACTTTAAAATTAGATTGGATTGCCAAATGTTTTGTATTCTCCCTTGGTATTCAGGCATGAAGAGGATGTCCAGCATTTTAAAGTGATGAAGGACACAAACAGCAATTATTTTCTATGGAGTGAAAAGTTTCAGTCACTAAACAAACTTGTGGAGTATTACAAGAATGTCTCCATCTCCAAAAACAAACAGATTTTTCTGAGAGAAGAAACCAAGAAAGGATCACAAGTAAATCTTAGAGAGGTCAGTTTTTATGATAGAGTAGAAGGAAAAAAATGTAATTCAGTAAGGTTTGTAAGCCAGTAAGGTGACTTTTGCCATGAAATTAGCCACCCCATCAACTTTTTCCATTGTTGTTTCTAGTGGTTCTTCCTCTTTTCCTCAATTTTTTATAGAAGCCTTAACACAGGGCTCCCCAGTGGCATTAAATTAAATGACACTTGGACTGTGGCATTCAGTTTTGGACACCACAATACAAAAAAAGATGATGAGACTCTAGAAAGAATTCAGAGAAGAGCAACAAAGATGTTTAGGGGACTGGAGGCTAAAACATATGATGAGCAGTTCTGTCTAGTCTAACAAAGAGAAAAACTAGGCCAGGTATGATACCAATCTTCCAGTACTTGAAGAACTGTCACAGTGAAGAGGGGGTCAGCCTATTCTCCAAAGCACCTGAGGATAGGACAAGAAGTAACAGATGGAAGCTTAAAAAGAGAAATCCAACCTAGAATTAAAGAGAAATTTCCTGAGAGTGAGAACAATTAATCAGTGGAACAGCTTGCCTCCAGAAGTTGTGGGTGCTCCATCATTGGAGGTTTTTAAGAAGAGATTGGACAGTCATTTGTCCAGAACAGTATATGATCTCCTGTTCAAGCAGAGGGTTGGACTAGAAGATCTCCAGGATCCCTTCCAACTCTGGTATTCTGTATACTTATGTGAAGCAATGGATTGTAGGAGGTTCCAAAAATGATGCATTAATACCAATTACAGGAACCATGTGGTTACAGCTATTTGAAAAAAAGGCAAATGATATGTCAGGTTATTTTGTTAACTATTTGAGTGAAACAAACAACAAATTCAGACTCCCTTTGGCAGCAGAATACAGAAACATTCAGTGGCAATAATAAGCAAAACAAAATATCACAAAATCCAAAAGGGAAAATGCTGTTTCATAGACCTATGTGTTGTTATGACCTCTTTGGTCAGCCAGCATTGACTGGGACCTATGACAACCTAGAAATAGAGATCTAAAGAAAACCCACACAGAGAGGCCAATACCTGCTGTGACTCCCACCAATCATATCAGGACATTTCCTCACAGGGCAGAAAACATCCCCACTCCAGGGAGACCCAAAAGAAGGAAAACAGGCACCTAAGGACAGCTCTTAAAACCTGTGGGTATCCAAATTGGGTCTTTATTAAATCAGTGTCTGGATTCAATATAAAATGGCAGACAGAGCTGGTACTCAGAGTCAAAAGAATAATCTGGTCATTCTTTACACAGCTAGTGTATCAGAGATGCTAAAATAGATATTTGGAAAACATCACATAGCAGTGTTTTTCAAGCCTACCAACACATTGAGACAGAAGCTTATCCACCCTAAAGAGTGAACACGAAAACATAAGAAGAGTAATGATATGTATACAATCCAGCACAGTGAGTTCTACATTGGAGAAACCAAGCAGCCTTTACCCAAGAGGATGGCCTGGAACAGGAGAAACAACACCACAAGATCAGAATCAAAACGGTACACCTTCATTTAGAAGACAAAGGATACTCTTTTGAGGACAATAATGTTCACATTTTGGATAGGGAAGATAGTTGGTTTGAGAGAGAATTGGAGAAATCTTCTTATGCCAAAGTGGAAAATCTTTCCCTCGACAGAGGTGGAGGCCTCAGATACAACCTGTCCCCCATTTTTTATGCTGCACTTTCATCAGTTCCAGGAAGATTAAGACATCTTCGCAGGCTCACCAGATTCACCACACTTAATGACCCACCTAGGGTAAAGGATTTAGGAGTTGGTACATTTACATCCCAATGACTCTTTGCCTATTCACCTATTGAGCCTATCCATATTAGGTGAAAAATGAAATCTCCCTGAAAGACATATATAGGGCCACCCCCAACCAATTTGCTCAGGCTGAAGAAGCTACTTAAATGAGCAGTGAATTGTTTTGAACCAATAAGAAAAGAAATCCAGTTGTCATAACTCAACTTCCAGATTTCCTACTTGCTATTCTTTCCCTCTAAGAAAAAGGGCCTTGACCAGAGGTGGGTTTCAGCAGGTTCTGACCAGTTCTGGAGAACCGGTAGCGGAAATTTTGAGTAGTTCGGAGAATCGGTAGTAAAAATTCTGACTGGCCCCACCCCCATCTATTCTCTGCCTCCCAAGTCCCACCTGATCAGGAGGAAATGTGGATTTTGCAGTAACCTTCCGCTGGATTGGGGATGGAATGGAGATTTTACGATATCCTTCCCCTGGAGTGGGATGGGAATGGAGATTTTACGGTATCCTTCCCCTGCCACGCCCACCAAGCCATGCCACGCCCACCAAGCCACACCCACAGAACCGATAGTAAAAAATGTTGAACCCACCACTGGCCTTGACCATCCAAATTGCATTGCTGGCAATAACAGGGGGAAATGAAACAATCCTATAATGCAAACTCCTTGTCTTGTAGTATAAAGGCATGTGACTAGAGGTTTTAAGCCTTCCTTTCCCATTTTGGGAGACAGATCATTTTGATAAGAGATGAACTAAACCAGAACTACATTATTTATAAACAATAAGAATCCTTTTTAATTTTAAAAATAAAAAATGCAAACTTTCATTGTTTAACAAGTTAGATCTGGTTTGATGAAATCAACTGTCAGTGTAATGCACTATGTTGATCACAAGATGTCATTCTTCTGTTCTCTGTTTTCTTTTTTTTAATGATGATAATTAATCTCCAAGTTAGACAGGAGTTTGTTTGGATTTGGCATTTTTTCCTAGGATCTGGTTTAGGCATTTGATGTTGTTAAAGCTATTGTCACAAGATGTAAGATGTTCCAAATAAGGCTGACTTTTGCAATTGATTGATGATGATTTTGTCAATGCCAACAGTGTTCAAGTCTTGTCTAGATGTTTTGGGATTTTACTATTGGCATTAACTTTGCTTAATTTTGCCACAGTTGTTTTATATCTATTTGCAGGTCTTTGTATTTTGTGATTTTCTCCCGTTCTTTCTCTTCTATTCTGCTGTTTCCAGGTATTGCCATGTCCACTATCTAGACGTCTTGTCTTTCTTATCAACAATGTTAAAACTGTGATGTTATTTTCTGTTTGAAGTCTAAAGTCCCAGAGCATCTTAACTTCTTCATTTTATATTACTTTGTCTATTTTGTAGTCCCACTAGTTCTTGCTTTCAACCAAACGTTATTTGACACAAGATGGGCAGCAAATAAATTTAATAATAGCACTTAATACTAGCAATAGCACTTAGACTTATATGGCAATTCAACCGTGCTTTAAAGCCCTCTCTAAGTGGTTTACAGAGTCAGTATATTGCTCCCAACAATCTGGGTCCCATTTTACCAACCTCAGAAGGATGGAAGACTGAGTCAACCTTGAGCCGCTGAGAATCAAACTGCCAAACTGCTGGCAGCTGGCAGTCAGCAGAAGTATCCTGAAGTAATGCATTCGAACCACCGTGCTACCACAGCTCTATAAATAATAAATAAATATTTCTTGCAGATATTCCAATGCACAATTGTTGCTATGTCGTTATGCCATCGTTTGTAGTCATTCTGTGTGATCTTGCAACAGCAGACTAGACTTCTTCGGTTTCTTTGAAGATACAGTATTTGCTATCTTTTGCTATCTACTCGATTCTGGCTTTGTTCTTAAGGCTTGGTCTTGTGCAGCCCCCCTGAATTAGCCCCACTGTCTCTTTCTTCAACTTTCCTGCTCTTAGTCATTGCCAGCTTGTTGCTATCTGCTTTGCATGTGAGTTTTATTTGTGTGTTCCCCCTGTAATACTTTGTCTTTATTATTTGTTCACAACAATGTGAAGTCACAGCTGCCAATTCTTTAGCTGGTGTTGGCCGTCATCTGTACTGAGTCCTTTCCAAGAACTTAGAATGTCATAATAATGTATCACTGTTGTATATGTGCAGATCCAAGCAGTGTAACCTTCTGCAATTGACAGATGAAAATTTTGAAAATGCACAGACTCTATAAGTGTCATCCAAGATTTTTTCGGTGTGCAAGTATGTCAGTAACTGCTGGAATTGCCATGGCCAGTTTATACCATAATCTTTCAGTTTCAATTTCCAGATCTTGAAAAAATATTTTGTGATCTTCTCCAGTTGTTTATTTTCCATTCTACTATCTCTTGGAAATTGCTACATCAATTATCCATATTTTCATCTTTCCACCAGTTAAATCTGGGGGGGGGGGAGAACCCGCAATATTTTAACCTACTCGTTGTCAATTACTTTTTCCACTCTGTGTTCCCATCAATAATTCATTACTGGCACATGATAATTTTTACAGATATTCCAGTGAAACATTCTGTCAACTGTGTTATGTAGCTGTTTATAATCAGTTTGTGCAATCTTCTTGCACAAGCTGAGTTTATGATCTGTTTCTTCTTTGCACACTCTGCACACACTGCACTTTGAATTATTTTCCATTCTGACCTTGATTGCATTGGTACAAATAGCTTGCTCTTGAGCAGTTAAAATCAAGGTTTCAATTTCAGAACATCTATATAAAAGAAAGGCGAGATTTTATTAGCATTTTTTGGTAGCCAAGATTCGTTTTCTTCAAAATCAATAAAAATGGAATCATACCAATGACAAAGAAGGGTGATAATAAATCACTCTGGAAGAGTGTTGATAAACCCATACTTTTTGTTTCCAATAATTCTGTCTTCCACTGCTTCATTATTTTTCCATAAACATCCTTAATGTTTGTACAGATGCCAGTTTCCAAACATTTGATGATTCAACTATGTGAAATGAATCAAATGCCATTTTATAGTCAATACAGAGCAAAAGCCAGTTAAACTGGGTTGGGTTTTTTTTGTTTTGCCTTTTGTAATTCTCCAATATCATTTTATTAATCAGAAGTTGATCATTTGTACCTCTGCTTTTTCTTTTATTTCTTTTATGTTCCGCCTGAAGTATGTTATTTTCTCCTAAATAATATTGGATGTTGTCTGTTATTATCCCTATGAGTAATTTAAACATTGTA